ATAATTAAGAGTTACAAAGACTACAGATTGCAAATGTGAACCGACCTTAAATCCTCCTTCATAAACATGGGTTGTTCTGTCAGACTTTGAGATGTCTTTCAACGCTTCATCGTTGCTGTAGCCATTTTCGACAAGACGTTTCTTCACTAATTCATCATCTGCCCATTTCAGCTCGAGTTCTGAGATGTTCAGATGCATGCAGCTTAAAAATAGATGTATGTATTTCATAAATCGACTTCCTATTTTACAACCAGAAAAAGATGTAGCAGATATTATTCTGGTGCGGAACAAACGCGAATGCCTCACTAAAATCTTCTTGAATCGCTAGCAAAATTAGATCAATTTCAGGAAAGTCAATGCTGGAGGAACGAATTATGCTACTGCGGAAAAGACAAAATGTAAGACTACAATACCAATATGAATCAAAACTACAATTATGACCGATGAACTTTCACGGGTTGATAGCTTATTTGACAACCCATGCAGTCCTCAGGTAAGCAACTTTAAAAACAAACTTTTCAAACTGCATACCTTTATGGAAACAGCTAAAGGCTTTAAATCATACAAAAGTTATAGATTGACATCATTTGATACTCATGAACATTATTGTAGTTAATTACTTGATACAATGATCTAACCAAAAAAAGTTTTATGCTCTTACACAAGATGTTAAATCCACATCTATTTACCTTCCCCACCTGTTATCATTTTTAGAAAACGTTATGTAGCCCCTGCCAAGTTAAGGTTTTCAGCCCCAAGTCAACGTTGGTGGATTTTTTTCGGAGGCCAAAAATGTTTTTAGAAAAAAGTCAAAAAACGCTTAGCGGATACGACTATGTTTGGTAGCAACAGATAGTGCTGCACCAGTATAAGTACCACTTTGGCTAACAAAAACGATATTTGGTCGAGCTGACAGTTTGAAAAGGTTTGCATAGTAAGATGAAGCTTGAAAGGCTGTCCAATTCTGCCTTTCACTTTTGCAAAGTCTTTGTAAAAAGTTGTGAAAGTTTTTTTATTCCAAAACCAGCCTGCTCTTTAAAAAGTGCTCTACAATATCAACTTCAACCTGAAACAACGAGCAAAGGGTTATTAATGCAGACTTTTAGCAATATTCAGCACTCAATTTAACCGCCACATTGACTAAGTAAACC